TCACTAAAAGATCTCTAGTAATTTCTTAACAAAATCCTGTCTCACGTGAACCCAAACTCTAGATATATGTCATAAAGTAAAACTTTATTTTTTTAATAAAACTATTTAAACAACATATTAGGGCAATTTGGTTATTTTAACAGTTTTCTCTTGTCCTGTTCTAGTCATACCAAATGCACAACAAACAATTAGTCTTGTCCTGCCCAATATGATTCGTATTAACTACTCACAATTGAAGGGTTACAATAGATTCCTAGGCACTTCGAGACTTCCAAATGTCTCCCAAGGCTTTCACCAAAAACACACACTAAGTTGCTCGATGCCCTCTCACAATCCCAGCTACCTATTTGTACTAACCATTTCACCACCATATTTTACCTACTTGTACCACAACAACAAACACTTGTACATTCATGCCACAATCTACTCTATTTGACTTCCTAATTGGGCCTACCTTTTCTCAACTTATTTTACCACTCTCCCAGGTAGGGGTGCTCAAAAATACAACCAACCCTAACTGAACCCAAAGCAACCCGATTTCTAATCGAGTTGTATTTGAGCGCCCCTCTATATATATATATATATATGCAAATTGAGAAAATAAATTGAATGTGATATAGTTAAGATTTAAGAAGTATGGATAAGTTGTACGAAATCTTTGATGATGAAAAAGAAATTATAAGTAGACTAGAGAATATTATGATGTACTAAAGTATCAACATGACCAACCTGTGCGGTTTTAGTTAGGTTCGGTTGAGATTTTTCAAACTGCAAGCATTGGATTAGGTTGTTCAAATGCCTTCAACCAGATCAACCGGACCCATGAGCACCCTTACTCCCAAAGTATAACAGTAGCTTTATACCATGATATTTCACGCAACTCTTAAGTATCGTCTTTGTTCCATAACACTAAGCCTTCACACTACAGAACTATTGGCTTTCTGGAGGATGACATTAAAGAGTTCTGATTGCCACAATCCCCTTGCCTCCCTAATCTGACACGCCTAGTCCTCTTCGGTAATTCTTCAACAAAGCAATTGTCGTCCCCCACACCCCTCGAACTCTATCTCCCTCCCTAGCCTTGTTAAATAGCACATGGAAGTAATTACTCCATCTCTCCTTAACGCCATTCTCCTTTACTAAAACCCACAATTCTCAACTTCACTATACCTTATGTTTCCTACGTCTCGAGCCTCCGCTCCCCGGCTTTTGCCACCTTGTATATTCCATTCTCTCCACCTCTAGCATCCAGCCTCTTATACATCTTCTCATAGGGCTTATCCTTAGACGCTGTCACCGCTTGTTTTGCTTCCTTGTACACTTCGCTTGCCCTACCGTTTTCCTCCTCATACGTCATACACTTCTTAAAATGCGATTGTTTTACCTAAAGAGTGAGGCACAAGATATGTTGTTTGTGCTATGATGTTTAATGAAAACATGATGTTTACATGTTCATGCCATTGGAAAGTGTCTTTACATGCATGAGAGTTGCATGTCATATGTAGCTTTTATGATGCATTTTATACTCATTAACTACAGAGTACTTGCGTAGTTTGAAATGCGTTTTGGTCGAGATGCACATAGATGTAAATTTATTTTCCTCCAAGAGACGTACGATCTCACAAACGTCGCCAAAAAAAGAGGCATATGAAATTGCTTTGTGCTTGTGTGCCAATATTGTAAGAGTAAGGCAACATAAACTCGCAAGTACGGCAAACACCAGGCGAGAAAGGGCAAACTCACCCAGGTGTTGTGTTCATTGTATCGATAACTGATTGATGTTTAGTAAGCATGTGTATTGTTTACATGAATTTACCATGCATATTTGATGTTAGTAGCACATAAAACCATGATATCACAAGGCCTTGAGCTTATGCATGTGTAACTTGTTTCCTTGTAATCTTATAGTTGGAACAAGTAGCAAAAGAAAAAAAAATGGTGTATGGATGTAAAGGACCGATAAACTCTAAAGTGAGAGTGTAGTTAGAACACCTTAAGTTCCATAACGGTACTTTAATTTTTTGGTGCATTGTAACTTTTTAGAAAGTTTAGTATGGTATCGACTTTCTTATATGATAATATGTATTAAACGCTCAAGTTGTAATTATCCTTATTCAAATATTGTAATTATCCTATGTGGCATGTTGGTTGGTATTTTGATGATCACTCGTTGACGTATTAATTTTGTGATTTCGAGGTGTCACATTAATGCAATAGAAATGATGTTATATGATACACAATCTTTACGATAACTAGTCATGGATCCTTCGATCTCTCCAACTTATATTACTAGGTTCACTTCCCATTATTTAGATTAACCTAGTGCTTTAGTAATCATTTAATAATTTCAGATACTTCCTCATCTTTTAAATATTACTTGTATCTCGCACCTTATGGTGTTGGAGTATCAATCACTGTAAATACTCTGCATGTGAATTCCACACATCCGTGCACATATTGCATTTCTTATCGAGCATCGATTGAGGATCAAAACAACCCTTGACAAGTGCATCACAAGGTAAGTCGAGAGCTTAAGGCATAATTCACACTTTCCCCAAGTATATCTACAATCTACATGGTTCAATTTCGCCCATAAATTACAACAGAGTGGGACTACTTAGGTATTGTGTTGTCTAGTTGTTTCTAGTTGTTCTAGGATAGAATTTCCATGTGACTTGCAAGCTCAATTCAAGCCAAGAGTAATGAGTAGATTCGTTTGGTTTAGCACGACTTCAAGCTATTTTCGCTGCTGAAACACGCCTGTAACGACAGCTTATAGCTGCTGTCACAGTGGCGTTCTCAACGAAATTTCAAGTTGTTTGAGATCGAGAAATTTAGCACCCCAAATGCTTCACTAGGTAGCTCACCCTTTTATATACATTTTAGCATTTGTTTGCATCATTTTAGACAGATAGGTTGTGTAAAAGTCCAATTTGCACTGACAATTTCTATGCGCTTACATTGTATTTTATATCATTTTATCCTAACCATCAACTCCCTAATAGGAATGATACCCCTTACCCATGAGAGTAAGTAGGTTAATGAACCTTGCACGCACAAGAATGTATATAATGTTTTGCTTTTGCGGATGAGTCATGCTCTTAGCCTCTTAGGATTGGCCCTTTTGCTATAACTAGAAGTGTACTCATGTAATGCAACGCGATGCATCTAGATCTAAAGTGAACACTCGAACACTTGATCCTGATTTATGCTTTGTTCTATTCTTTGTCCCTCTCAATCTTATTTTATGGTTTTGTCTATTATGTTTTGAGAGAGATGGAGATTCTTCAGTTGGAAACCATTTTATAAAGTATTTTGTCGTATTACCAGGGCTCAACACTTGCCATGTATTTGAACGTCTTTATCAATCAGTTATCTACTTATATCAGGTATTTTCTTATGGAGTTCACATGTAGAGGTTAGAAGTTGTAAAAGTATTGTATAGTGTAATAAAAAATTAGAATCGATAGTCACATATGAATATACTCATGATCAAATTTTGAAAATCAATTTAAAATCTATGCTGTTAAAATCGCGATATATCGAATATCAGTCCCTAGAAAAATATCGGTGGTGAAATATCGGTTCCGATAATATCGCCGATATTTTACCGATATTTTGATGAAAAAATCGGTCCGATACACCGATTTTCTATAAGGCAAATGTTTGGGCTATTTTTATTACATGTTGGACTTAGTTTTTTGGGCCTCTTTATTTGGTCAACCAGTCAACACATATATTAGGTCTCACGCTTCTCTTCTAGGTTCTTCACAGTTCACGCTCACTTCTTCAGCGTAGATGTTAACTAGGATGCCGAAACTATTGCTTGCGATTAGCTCGTTTTTTAACACTTTTCCTATCTTGTTTTGTGAGACTTGTTTATGTGATGTTTTAATTTTGAAACTATATTTCTAAACTCTAATTAATGCCTATGATATGTTTATGGATGTTGCATACGTATAATATATATATATATACATATAATTCTAAGAAAGATTATATTAAGCGCTATTTGGATCGATATATCACCAATATAACCGAAATATAGAATATCGGTCCTGACCGATATTTTGTATTTTGGCCGCAGTAATAGTTTAAAGTTTTGAGCAAAATTATATTGATATGATGTCAAATTGAAGAGAATAAAATACTAGTTTTTTGATACAATTTGTTTGACAAAAAAATAATTATATTTAAGATAACTTAGATTTTTTAAATGGGGTAAATTATAGAGTTTATCAGTTAATTGTATGTAGTTTTAAAAGTAGTACGTTATTTATAATAACTTGTAACCTTGAACTTTAAAATATTTGCACTAACAAATGGTACTTGATGTTTAATAAGTTGTATCTAAGAGTTGTATCTAAGAGTTCTTGCTAAATGCATTATTAGCAAAAATATTCCACTGGATCTAGAATAGAAGGTTACGCACTTTGTGTTTGTACCAAGAACTGTGCTTGAAAGTTGTGTATAGTTGTTCCACAAACACGGTTTTCATGTGATTTGCAAGCTTAATTCATGCCAAGTGTGTCACAACTCACGAGGAATTCCTTTGTATTAGCTTGATTCCAAGGTGTTTTTGCCTTTGTAACACTTGGAATGGCGGCTTATAGATGCTATCACAGGGGCATGCTGAAGGAAATTTCACATCCTTTTTAATTTCTAACGGTAGTAATTCAGCACCTAAATCTTCTCTAGCTTGTTCATCACATTTTATTTAGTATTGTATGCATCATTTAAAGCGGAAGTAAGTTGCATAAAATTCAATCTGCACCGGGAGTTCTGTGCTTGACAGCAACGTACAGTTTAGATAAGTTTGCATTTGCCTGGTGATTGGAGTCCAAAATTGAGTTGCTCATATGGTAAGTGCTTATATTGTGCTCATATTATTTGCATTTACCAAATAGAAGTTCGCTTGACACGTATCATATATCAGCAAATTAAAAGCATAAAATTTAATTGGCAGCTTACAGGCAATTCTACAACTGGTTAGTACATACCTTCTGTAGAACATACCCATCATGTACAGGGGCAACAGTAGTTGATCCTCCACCACTGAAGAATCATTAACCAATCCAAGTATCAGCTCCAACTCAAGTAATAATAGAAAATTTTAAAATTGCAAATAGCAGAAAAAAGAATCAAGACATCCACAGCAAAAATTAATATCCCTCCATCCCTCAAAGGATTTAATGCTTGGCACTACATGCATACAAGCATATCATGCCCATTGGTTACTGTGGTGTTGAGCAGTAAGATATGAAGCTATTAACTCTAAATGTGTCTGCTAGACTCCATGAGTGCTTCTGATTGCATGTATGCATGAATTTGTCATCATTGCATAAATGACTAGTACATGTCACTAATCAAAACGTCCCTCCCTCTATATTCAATATTGGAATCTCCACAGTTTTTAAGTAAAGAAATGTGAGGCAAGGCGTTTTCCATTGACAAGGCAAGGAGTAAGCCTCGAGGTGGTCCAAGGGGAAAGCTCGGGGCGGAAAATAAATAAAATTCAAATATATATATACACAAAAATTATAATACTGAACACAGAATACATAAATACTATATATACAAACTATATATATATATGGCATTACCATCATGCACTATATATATACATTCTCTTCTAGGCTGCCACTACCAACGGAGGAGAGAGAGTAAACTACAATTTTGGTCCTTGTGGTATGTCGATTATAACAGTTTTCGTCCCTACAGTTTCGAAAATACAAAATGCAATCCTGGTTTGAGAAAGCGTCCAGATTTGGTCCCTCATTCTACGGCCGTTAAAAAGAACTTGTTTAGTGAGGGTATTCTCGACTTCTGTCATCTTCCTCCCATTTTCCCTAAAAATAAAGTAAATAAAAAATGATAAAATATTTATTTATATACAAATATAAACATAATATATACATATATCGACGCTTATCAACAGAAGGTACCCCTCTTCCAGGGACAATCAAATCACCAGCCTACATCTCTCTGCCTTCAAACCCACACCCCCACCTCCTGTATGCACCTCCGGCGACACAATTATAACCTCTCTCTCTCTCTCTCTCTCTCTCTCTCTCTTTCAACGATCAACAAACTTCTGTGAAACTCCCACCACCATCTCTGGTGTATCCCCCGGTTCCCCCTCTTCAATGATCTCTCTTACACCTTTGATGTACCATTGCTATCATCTCCCTCCTCCTGAGATCTTCACAAACCGCCTGCATCTAAATCACGTGGGTCTGAATCAGGAACCAAGATTACGAAGGAGTTCCTAAATCACAAACCAGAGTTTCGAACCTGTTTCTTTCATCACGAACCAGGTATACAGCCAGTTTCTGAATAACATGGATCTCATTTGTGTTTCTAATATTGAATCTGCATCTGGTTTTAGTTTGTGATTTTAGATTAGGGTTTGAAACAATATGATCATTGATTTTTATTTTGTGGTTTAGATTTGAGTTTTTAGTGTGTGATCTAAGGTTTGGCTGTGATTTGGCGGAAGTAGATGACCCTTTAATAAAAAATAAGACAAAGCTCAAATTCAAACCAAAAACTTGAAAAAGAAATTGAATGGCTGAAAGCAACCTTGGCCCGAGAAGGGTTAAGTCTTTTTGGCTTTTAATAAGTTTAATGCTTCAAAATCAGATTGAAGGACAAAAGCAATGTTTTGACCAGAGGGGTTCACTATGGAGAGGCAAATCAGATTCTTCATCGCCTTTAGTTTGGGGATGGTAGGCGACAAATGTCATGATTTAATGGGTCGATTAAAATGACTAATAATTTTTTAACGAAAAATACGACAAAAACTTGAAAAAAACAAAAACGCCCCTAACTTAAGGGCAAGATTGTTAACAGCAATTGAAAGAGGGGCCAAATCCAGATGCTTTTGCAAACCACAATGGCCATTTTTGTATCTTCGAAATTGTAGGAACGAAACTGTTATAACCGACAAACCACAGGGACCAAAATTGTAGTTTACTCATGTGTAGATACACTACGCTGCCATTACAATCGATGGGACTATGAGAGAGATATAGGTTGCTAGGTACATGGGACAGAAAGAGACAAGATGGGACAAAACTCACAGTCCCATGTTTGGCATGACAAGGGCCAGGGCAGAAACTCTATGTCCCACGTTTGGCACGACATAGGACAAGAACAGGTACAAGGATTGGGACTGGGTGGGACAAAAAAGGCTTTATTTGTTCCAACAAAATAGGAAGATCAAGATGGGACAAAGATGAGGTAGAAACAAAAAAATTACTAATCTACCCTCATTTGATATAACCAACCACCGCCCATTGCCACCGCCACCACCACGGCCCATCGCAGCCGCCATCAACCACCATTGGCCACCTCTTCTACCACCACCACCGCTGCCTATCACCACCTTCACTACATCGGCTATGACTACGTCCTCTACCATTGTCAGCTGCCACCACCACCACTATCCACCATCTTCACATCCTCCTCGGTCACTGTCGTCCACCAACCACCACCGCCTCTACCTCCACAAGCATTGTCACTGCAACAACCTCCACCACCCCTCTTGTCCACCATCCTTACATCATCCATAGTCACTTGTCCATCATCACCACCATCAGTTGCCACTAACACCGCCCACCACCACCACTACCTCCACCACATCAACTACACCTACCTCCTCCACCATTATCAGCCGCCACCACCGCCTCTGTCCACCGTTTTCATATCATCTAGAATCATCGTCATCCACCAGTCACCACCACCCTACCACCATTATAGCTACAATAAACCTCCACCGTGCATCCGCCAATTCATAAGTCTTACAAACCGAATTAAATTGAACTAATTTTTTCTCCAACCACCATCAATTATATCAAATCTTTCATCCAAATTTGGTACTATTATATATGTATGTATTTATGTATATGAAAATTGTGTCAAAATGTTTATAAACTAAATTATCAAAATAAACTTGATTTGTCTCATTTATAACTATTGTATTATATATAAAATCATCAAACAATTTTTAGGGGCAACTTGTCCAATCCTGTCCTACCCAGTCCTAGTCGTACTAAATACCAGACAAACAACTTGTCCAGTCCAATCGAATCATGTCTGTATATCAAACGCTACCATAATGTTCTTCAAAGTGGGAGTTATACTGTTATAGCGGTGAAAATACAAAATTACGGTCAGGACCGATATTTGAAATAGCGGTTATAGTGGTGGTATAGCGGTCCAAAAAGTCGGGTTCATATAATATTTCTTAGAATTATAATCTATATCTATACTACATTATAAAGCATTTGACAAAAACTCTTAAAAACCGTTTTTTATGCATAAGCATTTGACAAAAACTCTTAAAAACCGTTTTTTATGCATGAAGTACTGTTTATTGATGCATATTACTTAAAATTCAACATTACAAGTAAATTGTACGTAAGTACAACTTATTAAAGCTCCATTTTGAATTCGTGTAACAAACACGGATAAACATAATCAAATAGGGGATAAACATCTCATTTTAAAATATAAAAAATTTAAAATATAATGAGGATAATTATTGAGTTCTAACAAAATAATTAATTATTATTTTTATAAAAAAATATTATTAAACCAAATATAAATTAATTCGTTTTTAAATTTAATTAAATTATAATAAAATTTTGAATCAAAGAAATTATATAAAAACGAGAACTTATAGTTAATTTAATACTAATATCACTTATTTTTTTCAAAATTTTATGATATCTTCAAATTTATATTTCATTCAAAAATAAGAACATTTTCTTTTTTCTCAGAACCACATAGCATCATAATATTGATAAACCCAAAATATAAAACAGAACATTAAAATCAAGATGTATCTCGCTACATTGCGCGAGTACCTTTCTAGTATATATATATATATATATATATATGTGTGTGTGTGTGTGTGTGTGTGTGTGTGTGCCTTACATGAACACATCATATGCGTTAATTAAAAATATAGTTTCAACATCAAAACATCAACTTAAACAAGTTTCACAAACAAAATAGGAAAAATGTTCATAAACGAGCTAATTGCAAGCAATAGATTCAACATCCAAGTCAACATAGTTCTAAAGAGGCCCAAGCTAAAATATCGGAATATTGGTCCGCAATTTCACCTCAAATATCGGTCAATTGTGCCGTTAATATCGTGAAACGCAATTTTCACCGCAATTTTATCTTAGAACACAATCTGCTATTGCACCGTTATTGCAAGGCAATAGCACCGCAATTAACAACATAGAGCGGGAGACTTTTATACACACACAAACTGCTATTTTAACACAACCACTAACAACAATATATAGAAAGTAGGACTCTGAGAGAGAATGTCGATTGGTCTGACAGCACCACGAACAAAGGCTTAAATACAATATATAAAAACACTATTATCTTTAAACAAGGTGTACGCATCTCACACGCCTTACCACCTTCTCACCTCTACAAAGCATATGTCCCAAACAAGAAGCAAAAGGCGGTGCCTCAGAAACTTTTCCGAGTCGCCTCACCTTGAGGCACGCCTCAACCTATGTTTAAAACCATGGAAGTCACTGGTATAGTTGTGTGGGATCACACGTCCAATTTTACATGCCGCCTATGTGTTCTTCATTAGTTGACCTTCAACTTATTAACTCTATTCCTATGTATAAGTTTGATGTTCAAATCTTCTAGACATCTTGTTTGAAGTTAAGAGTACGAAACGAGGCACCAACGTATCACTTTCTTGCTTTCAAGTATATTTCTCTATACATTAACCTCCCTCTTTGTTCACCACCAAACGTATAGGCAAAGTATCAAGTTAGAACTTTTCATACAGCCAAATCAAAGAACTGAAATCATGTCTCACGACAGCTATCCTCTTTGTACGCTTTACAACGACGAAGTATCCTCATATTATCATCATTACTTGTTAGCATTTAACCATATCTTGGACTCTGTCAATATGATTATTTCAGCAATAAATTTCATCATGTAGCTTGTCACATTCTCATCATACGACCAAGGACCACATATAGGCCTATTAAGCATCAGGAGTTATTAAAATCCTGCAGCTTCAAAATTTCAAGTATTTTCTTTTGCCATTAGCACTTTAAACCTAGTTGCTACTGAAACACGTTTTCCTTAATGACGTCACTGTTGACGACTAGACTTTATGTCGATGCACCAATGAAAAACAAACACAAATAAAATGCGATACAATGTCAGAGCTCATCCCAAGTAATACTTGACTAATATGTAGTAGCAACTTCTTAGCAATTCAACTGCCATTCCTGAACTTAATGTKTACCTAAAACATAATTTTGTAGCACAATAAACTTATGTATCGATCACATTCTCAAAGAATATTAAACTTAGGGTGTAAGTATTACAAGTCTCCTATTAAGTGTGTCTGTGTGTGTGTGACAATACTCGTATTTCCTTATTCCAACACGCATCCATTTTTCTTGTAAACCTTAAACTGTCTATTTAGACCAACTTCAAATTGAGAATCACTTTGCAAATTGATTGTATTCTTCTCCTAAGATCTACCATCAGGTTAACAGAGAAATTACTCTTAAACAATATCCATTTGACTTGTGAATTCTTGAAAAAAAAAACAGCATTAATCCCGTTCATGTGAAATAGTATGATCAAAATTCTTGCAATAGCAGTCAACATTAGGGTACCATATTGTGGTTCATGTGTACCTTGAAACCTCCATAGTCAAGCCAAATATACTAAAACATTTGGCCAGACCTATAGAGATTAAAAATCTACTCGAACACTACCCTTGTCATCCAAACGACTAACCCATACTTAGCAAACAATCAAGAGCTAAAACAGTTTATCCTTGCTGCTTACTAATATGTGAAAATGCATCACAACTGACAGATAAGCTTGGATCTAGTTTCTTCCAATCATCAACTACATTGTCCACAGACCATCCAGAGCATAGGACCTGCCAGATTACTAGAAATGATGCTTGTCAAACTGGATTTGAGAAAAATAGCATGAAAAAACCCCAAGTCTAGAGAATTCTCTAAAACTTGATGTGAAGAGAGAGAACTGATTTTTTATTCATTCCAACCAATGAGATTGAATTATTATTATTTTATATAAAGTTCTTTAAAAAGTGTATTGGTATGATAAGATTATAGAATATTTTAATAATATAGTTGTTGAAATCTCTAACATAGAGAATCTGTTGGAGTTGAATGTGATATTATTTTAGAGTCTTTAACTTCTGATTCTCTATTTTAGAAAAATTATAGAGAATCTGTTGGAGATGCTCTGATTAGTTATGTACTTCATGTAGAATACATGATTGATACCTATGACAGGATAGACGCAACGGTTACTGCCAAACTTCAAAAGAAAGATGGTAACTGTGTGTACAATCTCTTATGGGATGGAATCCATGCATTGATATCATCCACCAGAACATCCTGCAGAGGGATTGTCTTCCTTCTTTTAGACAGGCTTACACATCAGCCTACAAGAACAACAACAGCAGAGTTCGATTCCAGCGAAGGATGACGCTATATCTTCAACCCGATTAATTCTTAACAAATTAGTATTACACCAACTTCTAGTTAGAAATATCTGCCTCAGTGTTCTCTTCAGGGCCTATATCCTATGCATTCATGACTCTTCAAACCCATCTCAGGACAAATGTGGTAAACTTTAACCGGCAAGAAGCTGTGTGGGAAACCTCACAGGAGATATCTGATTTATAACCCAGCAGGTAAAAAAAGGTTAAACAAAGGTCAATCTCTCAAAGTAGACAAGAGAGAAGTGCCATCTCAATGGTACAATGTTTGCTGTTTTTTTTTTCCTGATGGTTTCTTCTCCAAAAAGAAAATCCAGCCAACCGTCAGCAATATGATAACTCAGAAAAGCATATCTCCAAAAAGAAAATCCAGCCAACCGTCAGCAATATGATAACTCAGAAAAGCATATCTTCCTCTCACATGGCCCCTAGTGCATCTACCATGTCTTCAGCTTTTAATCACTCATCAACTTTTTCTCTTTTGATCATTCATTCAGATGCTTCATATCATGTCACAACTCTCAGATGAATTCTTGCATTTATAAGCCTAGTATCAATATACACAAGGTTGGAATCAATGACAGTTCTTTTTCACTACATCCAGCAAAAGTTACATTCATTGTATTAACGCCATATCATTGTCACCATCTCTTAATACCCTACTTACGTAATAGTCCACTCTCAATTAGTAAAATAACCAATCATACCAACTGTGAACTGATGCTTTCGGGTTGCCATATTTAAAAATTTGAAACAAGGGTAAAGCTAGTAGTCATAGCTTGTATGACAGACTTCACTAGCCCGATTGAGCACAAGCAACATTTATACAGCCAATATTTGTATACACAGATAACATATTACAGGTGTGAGATATGGGTATTATGTTTACATTCCTATATGGGGGTGCATTATCTGCTAGTTTGTAGGATTTTTCTTAAATCTATGGATCTAGTTTATATATTTTAAGCGGGCTGCAAATCCATACATAATCATATTGTGCACACATGTCTGAATTAGTGACAGAAATTATTCATCAAATATTTGTATCCACAGGCTATAGGTGTGAGATATGCATATTACAGATGGTTTACTATAGAGGGTGTACTATATGCTAGTTTTTAGGATTTTTCTTAACTCAAAGAATCTAGTTTCCGTATCTAGTAGGCTGTAAATCCCTATATGTTAAGCATGTAAATACACTTATGAATCAATGTAAGAAATTATTCATTAAAAATTTCAAATAGCACCAGCAATTAGCATTTCAAGTTTCCCAAAATTTAGCAACTGCGTGTGAAAATCTTAATATTCTTCCGATTTTTCAAATCAAACTAGAACTACATCCTAAATCCTTTAAGAAAAGAACTAGCTATTGGCCCATTCGATTCTGCTCCAACGCTTGGGGTCCATCACTTATCATATCAAGGAAAGACTACAGTTAGTTCATAACTTTTATTGATAACTGCATCTCAGATAAAGTCCATTAGATATAGAGATTGTACTTCTAGTTTCTTAGGAGAGCATGGTATTCTAGAACTCGACTTGTCTCCTCCTTTTCAAGTATTTGCCCAACCATTTGCCAATGTACCACACTACTATTCATTTGATCAATTAATCTTACTAACAACACAACTTTACATGTTTCCAACTTCATTATTCAAGCTATATTGTATGGTATGCCCCAATGAACAATGATAATGGAATGAGTAAGTGCCGGGTCTTTCCTCATAACAAAGAAAGGAGTTCAAGAATGATCCACAGGCGATCCAGTTGATGAGTAGTGGGTAAAAGTAAAACTATACAATACTGAAACCATGCAAAACTTCCAGTCGGCAAACTTTTTGGCTGCTACCAACCACATCAAGAGTCAAATAAGATCAAAAGGCATTTATAAGTAAGAAACTTTGTAGCCACGGTCATAGTTGTTAAAAGTGTGCCTGAGGCGCGCCTAGGCTCTGAGGCTCATAAGGCTCAAGGTCTTGGGCTTTTCTCAAGTCGAGGCTCAGCGTATTCACGAGGCTCACTAAGGCATTGCGCCATGGCTGAGGCGCCTTGTGGGCCTAGGTGCGCTTCATAAAGAGTTACTAAATACCTAGTCAAACCCTAAGATTAAATAAGTTTCCTCATCTTCTCATCTCCTAGATTTCTTAAAAAAGGGTGTTATTAAATAGATGACATAAGTCAAACCCTAATATTAAATACCAAGTCCTTAGGACTTCAAGCCTCCTTCTCTATAAATACCCAGACCTAAAAACTTTTCCTTCACAGCTCACGCTTTAAACCCTTCCACCTCTATCAAAGTACTGTTGGTTGCTGCATTAGAGACTTGTGTGTAACTGTGTGTGAGAGTGTGTGTGTGTGTATTGATAAGATGCGCCTCGCATTACTGAGCCCCGCCTTACGCCTGCTCCTCTCGCCTAGGCCCCGGGACCCCATTGTGCCTAAGTGCGCCTTGAGCCTTTTAACAACTTTGGCCACGGTTATAGTCTTTGGATTAAAAAAGCCAAATATGACTTGTGGGCAAGTTGACAAGCAAATCATGTTTTCGTACCTATCCACAACCAATGAGGTAGCACGTCCTGAAGCAAAAGATGTGAGAACCTGGCAGTAAAATAAGCAATCAAGATCAGATCACATGCTCAATCTGAAGCCAAATGAACTCATTGGCATTAAGCCTGCCTTCAAGATCAATCTGTTAGAAAGTAATTACAGAATGAAGGTGAGCATACAGCATTTTTTGCTAAAAACAATGCAGGAGCTTGGTATTTTTCAAACATAATCTCCGCTGTCCTGCCACATTAAAAAGTACAAGTAAATTTTAGAAGATGCACATAAAGAAAGTTATGGTGTAATATAGTTTATTTAATGAATTAAAATCAACAAATATTCAAGCATGCAGAATAACCGGAACCAAAGAGAAAACACCAATGAATTGTTAAAGCATATGTGAAATGTTACTGTCACCCACTCTATTCACAACTGGATTAACATGAAAATATTAATTGTATTCTTCCCCCACGGAAATACTTCTATTGATAAATGGACTACATCCAAATGTCATGCATGTTCCTATATATATTATATGTTATTATTGTATATGTATGAAATTAATTTGATGAAAAAGTACAGTTCATTTTTTATTCACTGGCCCTTCACCAAATTAACAATTGTGTCATTGCCGTTTCACTTCTAATGATCTCATAATCCAGTTATTTCATCCATCTCTGAGAGAAAGCCAACTAAAATATCAGCTGGACATTTTTTATTTCACTTTTTAAACTAGTTTCCAATTTTTGTTTATCCTTCTGACTTGGTATTTTTCTCATTAAACTAATAGTTAGAATTATATCTCTTGATGTAAACTATGGAGCTAACATATACAAACAACTGTCTGTAATAAGTCCAGATATCACCACCGGATTGGAAATCACATGACAACAGCAGATACGCTTATCCAGTTTGGTGTTGGGATTGATGCCAGCTGCTATTTGTGTGAGCAACAAGATAAGTCCAGATATCACCTATTCTTTAATGTGATTTTGACATTAGGCGTTGAGTTCATCATAAGCTCTGTAGCTGGCATAGTTCTCCTAGGAGCTTAATAATATTTGGATATCATGAGAGATGACTGATGCATCAGAAAAGAACTTAATACGAGAAAATTGGGTTGTATCGGTAGTAGTGTTTATTTTGTGGCAAGAGTCGAATCAAGGGAGAAAAATAAGAGCTCCTCGTGGAAAAACTAGATTGTGTGCATATTGTAAGATGTTCAGGTTGTAGCATGTTGAGTATGTGTAGGAAGTTTGTTCATGAGCATAAAGCTTATTTTATACCTTTTTTGGCTAGATAAAGTACTCTGACATAATTGACAACCTCTAGGGACTAGGTCTTTTCCATCAACTTTGTATGGTTTTCCTTTTTCCAACTATCCATTCACCAAAAAGAAAAAGAACGTCTTTGTGCCTTCAGTCAGAGAATTCACGACTAATTGGAAAAGATCAATTTAATCAATTACAGCACTCTAAAATCCATTGCCCTTTTGTTACTTTCTTGGCACTTCCACCTATCTCTAGACAGTCCACACAATGGTTTCTTTGCAACATGTCAGTTAATCATCTTATCCTTTGATTAAAAAAATTCATGCAGCACCCAAAAACGAACATGTAACAGATGTTTATAGTAGCACCATCAGAAAGTAATGAGTAAATATTCCAACAAAAGGTATCACAGCACCAAGGGCATATTGTAACTGCCTACTTTTCTCTCTGTTGTTGAGTGTTAGATGATGGTTCTGCCAGTAGCATCGGATGCTCTTTAGGATCAACCAGCAGACATTCCCTGCAAGACAATGGTCATTGGTAACAAACACAAAATGAGCAATTTCCAAAAGTGTATAACGATCTCAAAACACTGTAGGAAAAAAAAACAAAGTGTGAACACATAAACAGCACAAATATTTTACAGGCCTCCTTGTGGCATTAAGAAGTGCTATACTGCAAACCTTAGTAACTTTTGTCATTGAAAAGCATAAAAATTTGCTACAATCCAGTTTTTCTTAGAAAAATACACACACCCTTCAAATGTCTCCCATGAGATTTGAACTTCCATCCTTTGGATTGAGAGGAATGATTGCAATCCTTGAATACCAAAACAAGCTAGGATTTTAATAGTGGTGCAACAGTTCAGTTCGACTTTTCACTTTTGCAATAGGTGAGCAGCTGATTGAGAAGTAAACAAATTGTTGAGGCAAAATAGGAGTACTGAAAAGAAGTATCCCAAGGCTGCACTATAAGGTTTATGATATTCTTCAAATAACATAATAGATTTTAAACCGCTCAATGTAAGCAGATAACTTGATATATCACTTCGATTCGAAGTCATAACTCAAACCAAGCTGAACACGGACCAGGAATTTGCTTTGCTGTCTTTTGTCAATACTAGGCATAACTCATCATGCATGAGGACTTTAAATCAAACTCCTACTCTCAGATTTCCCTGTTCTAGAGTTCTTCTATTTCCTTCCTCCAGAATGTTGCAAGCAGAAAAAAATCATGTAAAGAAATTGTTGACTGCTAGTTCAGTCAAAAAGAACGTCATTGGGATAAATATTGATTAGCAAAAGAGAGACCTTGAGATCAAAAAAACTTCATAATTGATAGATGGATATAGGACATAAAGCAAGGATATTTTTCTTTTACAACAACTATGATATCATTCAATAACTAGATAACTCATTGATAAGAGAAACTAAATACTAATGTAGCCCTCCAATAATTCCCCAGTCAACCAAAACCTTCACACTAAAGAAGTATCAACTGATGATCCAGTGGACATAAGACAGATGCAGAAGATAAAGTTCTTCATCATTCAAGATCTGAAGATCTCATTATTCAGATTTAAGAGGGGTTATTATAACCCCTCATCTTATAAAACTGACTCCAATTATTTATTAGTTATAAGGCTATAACTGGTTGATGATTACCTGAAGGTATGATCCCAAATGCTTTCCACGATATCCCAATCAGTAACAATTCCATCCTTTATCGACGGTATCACCTGGTGAAATAGTGTACAAATACCAAAGCACAAATTATAATTTATTAAAACACGTCAGATATTATTCTGTTCTCATGTTAGAACACTGACCTCCATATGATCCCGGCGGTATCCCATTGCACTAGACCCTACATATAATTTGCGTTTTCCTTTGGATTTAGACTCTGTAACAGCACCAGTATTCTTTTCTGGGTTATCATTCTCATCAACTTCCATTTGATCAATTGATCCAATGACCTTCATATGTGCAAATGATTAGATAATAAGAGAAGGAGGTTGAAACAGCAAAAGGATAAATGATGCAGCCATGTCATGTCTAGACCATAATGTGCACAATAGATGCCAATGAAATTAAAGAAAATTCTAAAGTTATGGCTATCTTACTATATTAGCTCGTGGGTTGCTTACTAAGTTACTACATAAGGTCATAATAGAATTTCTGATGCACCTACAGAGAGCCTTGGTTCAGTGACAAACATAAGTATGTCAACTTGGGATTCTGCACAAGAAATTACACGGGCCGAGAAAGAATGCAGACCCTGTAACTTCAAACCAATATCAATCTGGGATTCTGCACAACAAAGTAAGACAGAAACTGCAGATCCTGCAACTTTGAACCACAATCTCATGAACACCTCTACAACACGGCAAGCATTTTTAGATGTAGAGATAATCAACTATCCCCCATCTTCCATTCTGATAAAAAAAATTATTCTATGTAATGTAAATGATTTTGTTAAAAGCTTCAACATCACAAATGATTTTATTATAGATTTTCAGAATCTTGCAAAAACTATGACCCTATACCTCATCCACATTCATATTTCTTAAGAAAATATTTTACACCTCAGAAAGTGCTTGACCCACCATCAAAAGTCCATCTTGCAAGGACATTCCATTGGTTTTATCTCTAATCTACCTGAATCAGTTTGCATATAACTGCTCACCCAGCTAAGTCAAGTTGACATGAGTCATGCAAAGCCATTTGAATTTGTTTGCAATACATACATAGATATATACAGATACAGAGGTGATGATGAAGGTAACTCGAGATCTTATGATGAGCAAGTCAAAGTACAGTCCAAGATTTATTTGGATATTCATTGCACTAGTCAAAAGACGCAATCACGTGACATTAATAGTTTTCATAAGAGATCAAAATTCGCGCATCATATTAAGAAAATCTTGTTTGATGGTGGAAATGGTGTAAGGGAGTGATATGTTGTATGCCATCAGCTAACAACAGAAGAGAAGTTATGGCACTCATGCCCCCACTTCGATTTATATGTTGTTGTCTTAAAAGTTACACACATTTAGGGAAGATTGTTCTATTAAATTGGATTCCTAAAAGCTTTTTGAAATGAACTAGTGCATATTGCATCCTAGCATAAGAGATCATCGTAGTATTTCAACATTTTGTAATGCAATTGCTTCGAATCAAATTTGAAACAATCAAGTATAACATATTACGATAATCAATCATTCTGAAAAGTAATACTATCAATTAACATACAATCAAAATGTTTACTCAAACGTTTTACATAATTTAAAAATCCTACTCTATATATTAGATCAAATTGCATAGTGTGTCCACTTCAACCTCCCCATATAATATAAGTACTAGAGATCACCCGACCACCTAGCTCTGTTTTACATATTTCATAACACTATAAAGATCATTAATTTAAAACACATATGGTAAGAATTTATCTATGTTGTTAATTGTACCGCTATAGCGGTGCTATCGTGGTTAGCGGTCATGAGACAAACCATGGTTTGAAATGATGATCCCGTGATAAGCAATATTATTGACCTCTAAATGACCGTATTTTGAGTGCAAAAAAGCGGCCACATAACCGTATACGTATTTGTAGATATGTTGTTTTTGGTTTTAAAAAAGTAATTTTGTGGTCTTCTATTTTAGAACTGCATTCAGAGTACAATATCAAGGCTTCATTATTCTATTTCTTTTTTGGACACCATTATTCTTTTTTGTGGATTTGGACACCATCACTTTGAGCGCTAGTATTCACATTGTTCAATTATTTTTATTTGGACTTGGACAACTTTATCCTTTTATATTTTTTATTAAAAGCATATAATATGTTGAGTTATGTATGCATATATATATATATATATATATATATATATAATTCTAACTATCATTTGAACCACCATTATTGGACCGTTATGACCACTACTTCAAATCACGGTCCTGACCGCTATTCGACCATTCAAATCAAGGAGTTGACGCACAAACAAAAAAATATTACTATTGATCACAAGAATATTTTTGTATCCCATTATCATACATTAGAAGTTTACCCGTCAACCAGCCAAAGAAACCTTTATATTCATGTGGCTACTATAGATTTTGGGTCAATATAAAATAAATATCCATAGCACATTCATTTGCTTCATCAATTCAATTCAAATGAAATGAAAACGTTAGATATAAATCATACAAGTTTGACAGTTACTGTGACATTAGAACTTTAGAAGTTTCAAAGTAGCCAAAAAGCATTTGGAAGTTATGTATTCTGTTAAGGCTTCTAGTTCGTCGAAAAATCAATCAAACCTAAACCCCCTATAACCAAATTTCCTCAACTTTGAAGGATCGATAAGGGAAGTCCATACAAAATATTTCCCTTGCATTGTGGATGGTACCTACAATCTATGCTTTGAGAAATGTTTTGTGGAATTATCTCTCGTATATTGCCTTGAAATTCAGTTATTCTTGGTGATTCATGGGAGACTTTAATCTATTAAAAACTGAATGATTGGGATGCATTTGGTGATTTGAACCAAGATATAGAATCTATTAAGAACCGAATGATAAATGTGGGCCTTAAGGATATCAACATTCAAGGGCATAATTTCACATGGACTAATGGGGAGCATCCAGACTCAACAAAATCCTGGAGAATTCTAGTTCGCTCTCCCCAATGACACAATAGGATTATGTTTCTTTCAAAAGTTATGCAGGTCTACAGTCGTAATGTGTCATCCTACCTTCTCAAACTTGACATGATTGTTCATAGTTCTAGTGAGAAAATCCAGGCATAAATCACACTACAAAAAAAATGAGTGGGCTTAAGTCCTTACAGAAGGGAATACAGCTTTTGGAGCATCTTCACCAGCATAACCAGCTTTACATGTATGCGAACCCAAGTCTACAACTATCGCAGATACTTCATCTGATAAAAACAAACATTTGCAGTTAAACTCTCATGAATGTGCAGAATTAGGGTTTACTAAGAGGTCAGTATACATCTGATTCAGTTGAAACACTAAAAAGCGAGTGGAATTCGACTTACCTCCTCCGTACATGGCTCTGCTTAGGGTTTGCTTCTTCGATTTTGGAGGGCACTTGTCGTTGGGATTCCCCTTTGAATGTATTCTACTCTCTGTGTGCGAAAGAAAAACAACAAGAAGAACACCGATTGCAGGACTCAGGAGTCAGGACTGTATTGCATTGGGCCAAGAATTTGGGCCATTTGTCTCTAATGGGCCGATTTTTTATTTTCAGTATCCGGTCTTTTTAACCCAAACTCGGACATATTTTATATTTTTATTCAAAGGTAAAATAAAAAAAAACGACCCGGAGTGTTTGTAATCCGATTTGGGTTGTTTAAGCATGAAACCACAAAACAAACTGTAACGATGGTTTAAGAATTTTTTTCAAACCGAACTAGAAAAAATGGTCTGGTTTAAACATTTTGAAATTATTATAGGTTTTCAATGTTGAATCTGTCGTCAAATTGACTAACACGAGAATGGGCACAGCGGCTACATGGACCCCTTCCTTTCTGTTGTTGCCTACACTTTTCTAGGTTGTGCCACTAGAGAAACATAACATCTATCTTCGTAATAAAATTTGTACCAATACAATATTATTAAAAGAATATCACATAGAATTATAGAAGAAACATTTATCTCTAAAATTAAAAGCTACATTTGAGCAAGTTGAAAAGGGTTAAGCAAGTCCACCAACAATTGTTGAAATTGTGGACAAACAATGAGTAAGTCGAAGAACGATTTGAAATTTGGATTTTAATTTTTGATAGATTTCGGATTTTTGTCGATTTAGAGAATATGGACAATTGAGAAGTGAAAACTAAAAATTTTATATCTTGGACGAGCGTTCTTTTTTTAATTGGGTCATAAAAGTTAAGCCTACAAGGCTGCAAAATGAAAACTAAAAATAATTAATGCATGTGTATTTTGGTAGTTAGTTAGGTCCAAACACTCAAAGAAAGATTCAAACCATGGACCCGTTAAGACCAAGCAGTTTGGTTATTTTTCAAATGAGACCGGATTACTAGATTGTTTAAACCGCTAAAATTGTCCGATTTTAATTTGGTTTGACGGGTTTAAGCAGTCCAATGGTTTTTTGACAGTTTTAAAAATATTGTATGATTCATGTAATATAATTATACGAATTTGACGTCACTTAAACAAAAAATGAGACTTGATATTTCACGAGACAGTTTCAATAACATGTTCTTAAGGATAATTTTGTAACGTGTACACTTCATATCCTATTTTCAAATGAGATATACCGAGTTTTGGTTCAATTTATAATGGATAAAACAATTAAAATATTAGGTTAAAAAATGTACTCATTACACTAATAAAGAGTGAAAGCAATTATGATATTATTGGAAATAAAATTTAACTTAATGAACTAAAATAAAATGTATTCAATATATTGTTTTAAATGCAAAGATATTATTCGAGATTGTTACAAATATATCCAATTTTTTCATTACATCGTTCAAACATGGTTTGTGGTAGAATAGATGGTAACTACACAAGAATTTCTACAGTGAGTTATTATGTTATTTTAATCGCTCTTGATTTTTATACAATAATCAATTATGAGCAACTGCAAAAGGATTTTCGTCAAGGGGTTGTTTCGAAAAATAAGAGTGGGTTTCCAGAAAAAATCATGCACGGTTTGTTTCTTAAACACTTACTAGTGTGGGAACCGTGCGTTGCACGGTAGCATGAATACTTTGATTAATGATCTGAAGATTGTCTATATAAATATATGTTAGCCGTTAATAGAATCATCAACAAATAATATTTAAATAATTCGAAAAAAGTTAATAAAATATAATTAGTGAAATTTTAACATATATATATATATACACACACACACATGTATAACAGAGAGAGAGAGAGAGAGATTTGTTTATGAATAAAGTTGTAAAACTAAATAAAATGAGTAATAATAACGACGGGAATATTAAGAAATCTGACACAACTCAAGATAAAAAAAATACTCCACATAAGGATATTTCGTCTTCAAATATTTCAACTTACATTAATGTAAGAAAATCAATTAAAAGAAACATAAAAGAACCATATTTGAAAACTTAAAATAGACGATGAGTCAATTTTAAGGCATTGCAGAAATCTAACTTCAACTTTTCGTTTTCTTGTTTTGTTGTAAAAAAGAATATGTAGGGTTGTTTGGATTGACAATAAACTTATCAATGAACATTTGCGCAACCAAAAGATAACTCAAAAAAATCCTGACATAAGAAAAAGAAACTATCAATAATATCATAAAAAAATCAACCTAAAATATATTGTTTTAACACATATAAAACGAGTAAATTAAAGAAAAACCAAAAGATATTTGTATTATACATAACTAACCTCATAAAGCAGAATGATTACTTAGTGGAGGGAGAAGCGTAAGCGTCTTGTATGCCAAGAATTATGAATATTGACGGTTGCAATTGATGTCAACAATCATGGCTTTCTTTTATATGCAAGATGGAAAGAGCCAACACATATTGCACCTTAAGAAATTATTGAAGACCTTTAAACTTTTTCAATTAATTTCATCATATAATTGTATTATTAAAAATGTACAAAATTATATATGATTCATGTAATACATCATACATGATCCAAACGACTTTACCTTGCGACTTAAGTGGCCTCAAAAGTCGTACGCTTCCATTTAATGTAAAATCATATGTGATTTTGTACATTATGACTTTTTTCTTGCTTTCTTAAATAGTTAGCGTTCTCGTTTGAACATTCCTCTACGTATGTATTAATATATATATATATATATATATTATATTTGTGGATTCTAATTTCATTTAAAAAAAGATAAATATGGTTGAACCTTTTTTCATCATCAACACACACCTTGACTTTAGAAACACAATAGCGAATGGACCAACCATATGATATGTAAAAAATCGCATACCAAACTTGAAGACTTCAAATCTTTATAACACAATAGATAAAATTATAATGCAATCAAAATCACAACATGAACATATATAAAATTATCATACGACTAAACTTACGATAATAACATACTTAAAAAAAATTAATGCAATCAAAATCATGATACAAACATGCATAACATTCTGATACACTCTAAATTACAAAGAAAACTTGAATAAAATTCTTACCTTAGATCATAATCATAAATTCCCACAACTCAAACTTGAAAACTTCAAATATTCAAAGACTTAATATATAAAAGTTAAAGAACTCGATAACCTGTAAACCAGAAAACGCTCAACATAATTAAAAATTACATATGAACTTGAACACTTCAAATCTTCACCTAATACATAAGAGTTATAATGCAAACAAAATCACGATACAAATATAAATAAAATTATAATGCAATTAAAATCATGAAACAAATCAAAATATAAAATTATTATCTAATATTGCAACCAAAAAATCAAATAATGAACTTGAAGACTTCTTCAAATCTTCATGACATAATGCATAACAACTATAATGCAATGTAAATAACAATACAAACATACATAAAATTATGAGAGAAGTGAAAAAACAAAAAAAAAAAAAAAAAACTATGAAGATTATCAATAGTAAAATATAAGAAAAAACAAAGATAAAGAAAATAAATTTAGAGATGTATAAGATAAAGATAGAATTTGAGAGGGTGTGAGAGATGAAGATGAATAAATGGTGATTGTTTTTATTTATATATATAAATAAATAATTGATTGGAAAAGATGAATGGTTTGGAGTTATGTTATTTGAATTAATATAGAAAGAAATGAATGGTTTGGAGTTGAATACAAATATTTAACAAAAAAACATAAATTGACAAAAAAAATATAGTAGTGAATATTGAGAGAATGAAGGAAAAAGCAGAAAAATGAGGTTCCAAGCTTTAGGAAAGGCCACCTCAAACACTCATGGTTTATTCTTTAATCAGTATCATGCATTGCACGATGACTAAAATTCGTGTTGAAAAAAATGTATAAATTATGTTAATTGGTTATTTTCATAAACTTGGAACATGTTACAAGGTTGATGCAAATGAGTGTAGTTGAACATTATTATTCTCAATTTATCATATAAAAACTGGTATAATTAATAGGGCTGTAAAGTATATTAGGTGTGTGATGAAATTTATTAATAACAACCATAGTTTAAATATCCACCGTATAACATAAAATTTAATTGTACTTTAATTAAAATAAAAAAATGACATATAATTGGTGTCATATTTTTCTTTTATTTTTCAACAAATTTCATATATTATGAAATTATCTTGTTAATGAGTAAAAATTTTCATTGGTACATACGTCCTTTGGATTCGATTACATAGAATTATCCGACATCTTCAACCTTTTTCATTTTTCATATGTATAAGAGATTTACCATCTTCATTCACTCAATTAGTTACAACTTTATTCTCTATAACATTGATGATAACGGTATTGATCCCATTAGATTGTAGCATAATTTCATTGTCAGCATTGTCAAGTTGTATAAAACAAATAACTAAATTCATAAAAACAATTAATATACTTTTAATCATGATTAATTATAAATAGTTGAAGGTCATAACAATAGTTGAAGAGCATCAACCGATTAATCAAAGTTTATATTTTCTTAAAATCTTAATTTCTTAAATTCAACATTAAAACATTTATTACTATATAACAACTTAAGAATCAAAACTAAAATGTAGATTTTACTGTCACTTTTGCTAGTAACAATGTCATATCATAATAAACAATAGGGTTAAATGCATGAAATAACAACCTACTTTCATAAAAAAAATTATTATAGCATTCTACTTTTGTTTTTCTTTATTACAGCAATGTACTTTCAAATTATTTTTTATTAAATCATTGTACTTTAAAAAATCTACCCATAATAGCAATKGGTAACCTGTTACCTTTTAAACCGGTTAACCCTTTGACTTTTTTGCTTGTGTGACTTTAATGAGGTGATGTGGATGACACATCATTTTGATGACTTAACTAAATTAAAATAAAAACCTATTTCAAATTATTATTAGTGATTTTCATTTTTCATTGCTATGATCTAAAAAACATTTATTTTTTTTTACTTTTTCTTATTAAGTTACATTCAAATTAAATATTTATTAAATAAATATGAAACATTATTTTTGAGAT